TTTTAATAATCTACTTAATAAAATATACTTAAAAATTTATATTTATTTTAAATATTTTAATAATGTACTTAATAAAATCAACTTAAATAATTGGATTTATTTAAAGTAAACTCAAACATTTTAATTAAATTCCACTTAAATATTTACATTTATTTAAAATAAACTTAACAATTTTAATAATTTACTTTGTAAAAATCGGCTTAAATATTTGTATTTATTTTAAATATACTTAAATATTTTAATAATCTACTTAATAAAAATCTACTTAAATATATGTTAAAGAAGCTATTAATTTAGTTAAGAAGTTATTATTTTTTTTTAAATTATTATAAATATTGCAAAAATTGGTTTACGATGTATATAATGCTGATATTATTTAGTTTGATTTGATTATGTTTAATCGTAGATATGCTAATGCTATTAAATTATATTATTTTTGTTTATACAAACTAAGTATAACTATAACTAACTATGATATATTTAATTTTTATTTTGTGGCAATTTGAAAGGAGAGCATAATTTAATTATTGGATGCATATTTGGCCAATAATAAATCTTTTCAATCAATTATTAAATATTTAAATATAATAAATAAATATAAGCAAAAAAATGCATTTCAAAGGTAATAAAAGAGTCATTGAAATTACGACTGAGTCAATATTATTAATATTCTAATATCAAATTACTAAACTTTAATATTTTCAATATGCTCTACATCATGCAATTAGAACTAGTTTGAAATATGCCTTTTATATAAAAATTACAAAATCCTTAAAATCTTATTTCTGAAAATAGGTCTTCATAAAAACCAGGTTTTGTTGCATATTGTATTATTTGTTTATTTTCACATTATTTTCATTTCACTTGTATGTTTGTTTTTGCATTTTAATGGTGTAGTTCAAATCCATTAGAATCAAAATTTTTCCTAAAAAATTTGATATATTTTAGAATCTTAAAAGTTTTAATATAGTATATAATCAAAAATATTTATAAAAATAATACCTAATTTTTAAATTTGCTACTAAAAATTTTATTTTCTGAAAGTATAAAAATATAAAAGGTTCATATATTAAAACTATTTAATTTATTTCTTGTAAATATAATACAAAATAAATTATAATTTTTAAAAATTCATCTTAATTTCGAAATAAAAGATGATATAAACGTTTTTAAAACCAATAGCGAATTTAACAAAAATTAAACATATTATATAAAATAAATGTTAAGACAGAATTTTCGATTTGCTTTTGATTACATAGATTCCCAAAAGATGGCAGCACGAGCAAATACTCACCGGCAAACGCACGGAAGCGCTCCTCTGTTGCTGCAGGCGTTCCAGCTGCTGCTGCTTCTTCCGTGCTTGAATGGCGTGCGGATCCGGCAGTGACCTGTGTCTCCGGACTTTGATGTGGGGCACCTGGAGGGTGTTGGGGGAGAGGGGGATGTGAACAGGACTCAGTCGGGGAGACAGTGGTGACCGGGGAGATCTGGGAGCGATGGGAGATCTCGGTGATCGTCTGCGTTGGGTCAGAGCCAGGGCTTCTAAACGGGATAGCACAGCTCGAGCTGCATCCTGTAATTAAAACAATAATATAAATTAATAAAGAATGTGTCACTCGGGGAGTCGGCTAAAAAATTTTCTACTCCCTACTTTTGAATCGTATTATTTATACCTCCAAACTGTTGAGTCGTATTATTTATACCTCCAAACTGTTGAATCGTATTATTTATACCAACTCCAAACTTTTGAATCGTATTATTTATACCTCCAAACTGTTGTATCGTGTTACTTATACCGACTCCAAACCGCTGTATTACTTATACCGAATCCAAACTTTTGAATCGTATTACTTATACCTCCCAACTTTTGAATTGTATTATTTATACCGACTCCTAACTCTTTCCCCTAATTTTATGTGCTATGATTTTCATTAATGGACTTAAAAGAATTTGCGAAATAAGTTCAAGGAGTTTTAATGAACTCATATATCTATAAAAGCAATTTTTGCATAACATAGAGTATTTATCTGACATCTTTAAAGGCATAGTATTCACACTCACTTAAAAGACATTCTTGTCCTCGTAAATTTGTTTACAAAAAAATACATGCATGCTATAAACAGTATAACAGTACCCAATTGGCAATTAGTAAAGTATTATAAAATGGCTTAAGACAATCATAAGAAAATTATGCATTTGAATCACAAGGTTGCTATATTTGTACTAGATGAAATTTTAATTTATCTTAATAATACAATAAACTATTATTACTATTATTACTATTATTAAACTATTATTACTATTATTATTATTATTACCACTACAAGTTATTATTATTGTTATTATTTTATTATTTTATTTATCATTTTATTATTATTTTTATTATTTTACGATATTATCTCCACTTCTTTGGGTGTATGTCTCCCGTCTTCCCAGCGGTAAGTGCATACCAGTTTATTGCTGAACAGGGGTCGGATTAATGTTGTAAGTGTGCGTTGCAGTCTGTTTTTAGAGCTGGGGTTTACTGGTGCATAACGCATGGGGTCTTTAGGTCAAAGTTGCCTGGTTCGAAATTTTACAAGCAATACCAAATCGAAAGCTTTCATGTCTACAACATGACTGGCGAAGGGAATTGGTTGCGGTAAAGAATGTTGCTGTTTACGTGCTAAATTAAATTAACCCTTTGAACAGGGGTTGGATTTCTATTGTAAGCGTACGTTGCAGTTTGCTTTCAGATCCGGGGTTTGCTGATGCACAACGCAAGGGGTTCCTAGGGTTAAAGTTGCCTGCTTCGAAGTCTTACAAGCATTACCAAACAGAAAGCTTTCGTGTCTATGATAGGAATAGTTACTATAAATCTGTAAACAGGTAAGTTTTAGCATCGGACTCCGGTAAGAATCCATAGATTCCAACTTTCAAAGTGTTGGTCAGAAATCAAAGAGGTTCGACTTAAACCACATCATTCCCATGATTGTAGAAGTGTATCAATTCTACACACAATGGAGAATGTGACAATATTTTAAACATTTTGACATTTTGCATTGAAAATTGTACAGCCGATGGGGGTGGTGAAGATGAAAAGGAGAGAGGCACAACGTTCTTGAACGAAATTTATTACTCAACTCAGAAACGATACATGAAGAAAAACACTTGACGAATGAAAAAGCGCCCTCTTACGGAGAACGAAATATTACATAAGGAATCTAAATACGGTTACAGTCTGAAGAGGGGGTATTTTAAATGTTCAGCCCTATGAAATTTAAACAATTTCTTTGGAAACATTTTCCTGAAAGCTATAAAATCAAGTTTTTATTGTTGTTTCTTATCCCTCTTAGTATACATCAATATCTAGACCAAGCCAACGAATCCATGGGCTTTCATGGTTGTAGGGAAAAGGGGCTTTTGTTGTGATGGAGCACCCGTATGTAGAAGTCTGGCCTGGCTCCGCCATCTAACCTGACGCTCATACCAAACCCTTATGGATTTATTCTGCACATCCATAGCATTGACGCAGGATTTCTTGCTTGTCGGGTTTTGAACTCGACTCTTTTAGATCGGAGATCCAATGACTTACATCATAGTCCACCAATTACATCATTATTTAATACATCCAATTATTATCGGAAACCTGGGGCCTAAATAGCCGAGTGGCTAGCGCTCTGGCGCTCGGTACCACAGGTTTCGGGCTCGGTACCACGGTGCCATAGATGTTTGTAGTGGTTCGGAATCCACTTTAAACCGTAGGTCCCGGTCCTAATAAGATCGCAGAACGTTGCGGGGACATTGTTACTCCGCGTCCGTGGCTTAGCTTCAAGTTACACGCGACCCCTGGGTAATGCAAAGTGAGTAACGTCTGTGCAGCGCTTGCCTAAAGGCATCCAAGACCAAGCTGTCTGAGTGTTTGCCAGCTGCATTAGAAAGAAAAAAAAATTATCGGAAACCTTGTACATGATTATTTATAGAATAAAAATAACAACGCTAAAGTAATCAATTCAGCAACTCCCCTATAAAAGCCATAGATCCAAATTAACCGAATGCTACCCTGAAGTACCGTGATCAGCCCTCCTCTAATGAATAATTAATCTCTGTGGAAGATAATCAAACCTTCCATCACGCTATTGTGAGGAACGCTACTCGCGCATAATTTAGTAGCGATAGCGTTTCCTTACCGTCCATTGTTCTGGTCAACTAATGCAATCCATCAATTCATCATCTTCCGGCGGGAAGTTGCCATGTTCGCCGGGTTAATTGAATTTGGCACGTAAACAGCCGCGCTCTTGTTGAGGCATTGCGTGCTGGCAACATCCTTTACCGCAACTCATTCACCAGCGAGGCGTTCGGTTTTTATTTTGTGGCAAGTAAGTATCCTTTGTCAAAAGCCATCATAATGACCATCTGTTAAAAGGATGGCCTTATAGATGTTAATGATGTGGGGTTTTAGATGGTAAAGAATTGAGAGATGTCTGCACATTTTTGCCCTGTTTGGATATACGTATACGTCTTGTTATGCTAATGGGGACGTTTGGTTCTTCTTTGATTTATGATGATATCCTCCTACGTTATTTTAATTATTTATTTTTTGACGTCTTAGACTTTATATTTCAAATAATTAACCATGAATAGTTTCGACAGTTAGGGCCTGATGACTGACTAACGCTCTGACGTTCGGTGCTACAGGTTTCGGGTTCGATAGATGTTTGTAGTGGTTTGGAATCCACTTTAAACCATAGGTCTCTGTCTAATCTGACCACACCACATCACTGTGTCAAAAGCTGAGTTGCTCCTACACATATTGGGAATGATGTGGATGAGAAGTCTGACTGGTCTCCTTGATGCTCTTACAGTCAGTTTCTTTCAATTAATTAAAAAAAGATCAATATATATATATATATATAATTAGATATATTAATTAGAAAATAACACTTACAATATAAAATATTAATAATAAATCTTTAGAATAATTATTTTGTATGTATTTTATTAAATAATATTTATATGCCAACGGCCATACCATGCTGAATATACCGGTTCTCGTTAGATCACCGAAGTCAAGCATCATTGGGCGCGGTCAGTACTTGGGTGGGTGACCACCTGGGAACACCGCGGGCCGTTGGCATTTACAAATTTGGGACCTGAACGGCCGAGTGTCTAGCGCTCTGGCGCTCGGTGCCACAGGTTTCGGGTTCGAATCCCGGTGGTGCCATGGATGTTTGTAGTGGTTCGGAATCCACTTTAAACCGTAGGTCCCGGTCTCCTATGACTGCAAGAGCGTCACGGACACGCGGAGTAACAATGCCTCCGCAACGCTCTATGATCCTATTAGACCTTGACCTACGGTTTAAAGTGGATTCCGAACCACTACAAACATCCATGGC